GTTTGCTCACATCTTCATCTTAGCATCTAACTGAACCACCGACTCTGGGCGGGTCACATGGTGTGAGGCCTTTAAGGTCGGAGAAGATTCCCGCCTCTCAAGATGGGCTTGTCCAATGAGAAAGGCCGGTATCCCAAGTGGGAGTTTTGAGATACTGGGGAGTTTTATGACTCTTTGTGTGGAAGCATGGTAATTTGCATATGGAACTTGAATCGAAATTACTAAAGATTCTCAGGACACTAATATATTGCTTATGTACCAACATATAATATACACCCTCGTTTAGATCATCAGAAGACTAATTCATAGATACTAAACATGGTAGGGTTACATATATGTAAGATGACTGGAATGAGTGTTTCGATCATAAGCCTGCATAAAACAGTATAAAATCTCAAAGACAACATACACGATGACCTGAAGGGTATGTGTGTTCATTCAAAGAAAGGTTTTCCTATGAATTAATTAGTAGAAAAGTCCATTTCTACTGTGCATTGTGCCTCTTGCTATGGAACATGCAGTGATTTTCCCTGCTTCGCATTCCATTAGGTCGTAAATGTATCTGGTGTCAGGGTTGCCATGGTAACCAGGGTCCTGGGCCCTGTTCACAGACAACTTGGCACCCAGTATGTTTATTGGGTGAGGGGTCTGTGAACGTTTGTTAATCTAATGAATAATTGATTTGTTAAATCAAATGAAAAATGGTGTGTCTGATTGGTCCAGACGCTACACTTGTAATGTAAATCAACGAGATCTATATAACAGTAGAGCAGATACTCTATAACTCCAATAATATGTCTTCGTAAGATGAGATTGAAATGATCCAAACATATAATGCAGTGATTGAGAGCTGAAGAAATAAAGGCTCCTCAGAAGATGTGAGATGTTCTGGAGGCTTGTGAAGATCATTCCTCCGCTGAGGAACAGTGAAAGTAAAGCTTCTGGAAACAAACGCTCCTCAAAAGATCCTGAGGATCAGATTTGAGACTCTAAAACATGATTGATGGAGAATCAAGTAAAGCTGAGCTGCTTCAGTCCAGTAAGTGTTCATCTGGAGATATTACTGCAGTTATTCTGACACTTACTTGATAAAAATCAGTCAAGATTTGACAGCAGAAAGACACGTGAAGCACCAGCTGAAGCTGGACGTCTGTACAATTACACTAAAAGAGCTTTGACTAGATAAAAAACTCTAAACTATCAATTGGACGACAGAAGCAATGTAGTAGATTGTGTGCGACAGGTTTACCAGCAAAGTTTTGATCTTGTTGATCATTTAGAGGCTTTAGAAATGTGCATATTTAATATGATACAGTAGCTTTATATGTTAATTTGTTTCTCACTGCACGCATGTGTAAATAAAGTGTGGTGTAACTGTCTTTGTGTTCACCCACAGCACCGCGTGTCAGGAGCCAAAACGCAGATGATCATGGAGGACTGGGACTTCCTGCAGCTCCAGTGCGCTCTCTACATCAACAGCGAGCTGTCGGGCATCCCGCTCAATATGGCACCCAAGAAATGGACCCGTGGCTTCGTGCAAAGACTCAAGGGAAAACAGGGTACGACCTGCTGAGAGCTCAAGGGCTATGCTTAATAGGGCTGTCAAAATGGCTTAAAAACTAAATTATATTCGAATTTAAAATGCATAATTTCAGTTAGGGTGAAGAAAAGCTTTTGGCTTCTCTCTTCTCTTCTTCTCTCTGAGGCCACAAGAGGGCGCATCCAGCAAAATATTAATAATGCACGTTTATTCAAAGCAATAAAACACGACTATCTGTGAAAAAAGTGCATAATGTTTAAAATAATGTTTATAAACCAATTATAATTAAGTTGCTTAAACAACTAACAAAACAGCATCATGTATGTATGCATAGTTTAATACAAAGGACCGAAAGCCAATCACACAGAGTACATTTTTCGTTTAAAAACACGAGTTGCAGTGGGACGGAAAAACCCCCGCCATAAGTCTCGAGAGATGTTTTTTCAAAGTTGAACTTGCATTAATTTTACATGGGTTTCTAAGCATGCTGTTCTTTTGTGTGAGACGCGAGTGCAACGCTGATAGATGTCCCTCTAGAAAATGTGTGAAATATGCGTTCTGTGTGAACGGCTTGGTTTCAGTTTTGACGTAAACAAGATCTTCTCCGCATTGATGTTCTCTTTTCCCGCAATATTTGTAATTAACAACGCAGCAGCGCCGCATCTAGTGGCTTCAACTGGATAGGTTAACAAAAACATTATAATGCAACGACACTTTCATGGTCATCGTATCTCGTGCACCGCTGATAAGGCTGCCACACCTAAAATTCGAATGCAAAGTTTTTGCATTCGAATATGGATTTTTATTTTAAATTCGACGAATATTTTTTGACAGCCCTAGTGCTTAAACACCAGCTTTTCCCACGAGTCTCTGCAGAAGTGGCAGTGTTATATTGGGCTGTTTTGACATTGGATGCCTCCAGGATCGATGCGTCACATCAGCTTGCCTTGTTTTGCTGTTTTCAGGGCGGTTTCGTGGTAACCTGTCTGGAAAGAGAGTGGATTTCTCCGGCAGAACGGTCATCTCTCCCGACCCGAACCTGAGGATCGATGAGGTCGCTGTACCGGTGCACGTCGCTAAAATCCTCACCTACCCAGAGAAGGTCAGAGCAGAAATGTGCTGTGGATCTGCGCAACTACTTATTTTCACTAGTCAAACTGCTGGCAGAATAATGTTTACTTTATGTGGGGCCCTAAAAAATCTGTTCTGTTTTTTCCCAAATTCAGTTTTTCTGGATTCCAGTAAAATACATTTTAATAAACAAAAAGCATGTCTAGTTAATTGAGCTCATGAATCATGTAGTTTAACACTATTTATTAAAAGTTTAACCAAAATTACATTTTTAAATAAATCTTTATTTTTTCCCAAATTTAATTTAATTTTATTATTTTTTATTTCCCCAAGTTCTGTGTTTTCCGTTTGCATTTTTAATGAATGGTTTAAATAATTGGTTTAAATTAAAATAGCATATGTTCAATTGAATTTATAAAACTTTATTTGTTTATTTATTTATTTTTACACAATAATGGAGCCCTATGAAATGTTTTATTTTTCTGAAATTATATTGTCATCTGTTTGAATTTTTCTAGAATATTTAATGGATTAATTAAATTGTAACTAGTAAAAAATATTCAGTTTATTTTTACTCAATTTATTTAAATTTTAATTCTTTATTTATTTACATACATCCAATAATAGGCCCCTATGAAATGTTTTATTTTTCAGAAGTTCTGTTGTCATTTGTTTTAATTTTTCTCTGTATCATGTAATATAAATTTATCAAAATTGGTGGTAATCAAATGAAGGCATAAAACACTAACCTTTTAATTAATCCTTTAAAATTAAAACATGGAATAAAAATATGCTGTAATGAAGCTGGTGTGTGTATGTTTTCTCTCAGGTGAATAAAGCCAACATTGAGCTGATGAGGAAGCTGGTGCGTAACGGTCCTGATCTTCACCCAGGAGCTAATTTTATTCAGCAGAGACACATGCAGATGAAGAGGTCAAATACACACTTCTCTATCCTCCCCTTTTACTCTATGTTCAAAAATCAACCAAAAATGAAGATTCTGTCATCATTTACTCTCCCTCGTTTCATTGCAAACCAGTTCGACTTGATTTTTCTTAAGTGGAACACAAAAGCAGATGTTTAGCTGAATGCTCATGCTGTTCTTTTCCAAACCATGACAGCTGAGGGTTGTCAAACTCTAAAATAGATCACAAATTGAAGTAGTGATGCACTTCAGTGGCTTCTAGATATGTGACCCTGGAGCACAAAACAGAAATAAGGGTCAATTTTGTGAAATTGAGATTTATGCATCATCTGAAAGCTGAATAAACAAGCTTCCATTGATGTATGGTTTGTTAGGATAGGACAATATTTGGCTGAGATACAACTATTTGAAAATCTGGAATCTGAGGGTGCAAAAAAATCTAAATATTGAGAAAATCATCTTTAAAGTTGTCCAAATGAAGTTCTTAGCAATGCATATTACTAATCATAAATTAAGTTTTGATATATTTACGGCAGGAAATTTACACAATATCTTCATGGAACATGATCTTTACTTAATATCCTAATGATTTTTGTCATATAAAAAAATCTATAATTTTGACCTGTGCAATGTATTGTTGGCTATTGCTACAAATATACCCCAGCGACTTAACACTGCTTTTGTGCTCCAGGGTCACTTATAGGATTATAGCGCAGAAATGCTTGATGGTATAAATCGTTGTTCATACATTCTTTAAAACGACTCGGTGTCCACAAAGAAGGAAAGTCATGCAGATCTGTTAAGACGTGAGGTTGAGTGAATGGCAGTTTTCATTTGTTAATCGTGTGAATGTCTTGGCTGCGTGTTTCAGGTTTTTGAAGTACGGTAATCGGGAGAAGATGGCTCAGGAGCTGAAGTACGGTGACGTGGTTGAGAGACACATGATCGATGGAGACATCGTTCTCTTCAATCGGCAGCCGTCTCTGCACAAACTCAGCATCATGGCTCATATCGTGAGTTATTTCTCATTTGATCAAAAAAAAAAATGGGGATGAAAATGATATGGAATTACACTAAATTAAATTGTCCAGATGAAATAAAGAAAGTGACTTGCAATATTGATTAATTGATTTTAATCAGTCTTTAATTTGATGAACCGATAATGATTCTTAAATCCTGAAATTGATCTTTGGATGGACTGAAAGTCATTATTTAACAGCTTATAAAAAGTGTGTCACCTCAGGAATGACATTCAAAGTTCATAAACTTGATAGTCAACTACAAAAAAAGCAACTCTAGAGGGGAACAGTTTGATAAATGTATTCACTTTTTTACTTATTCATTATTTTAGCGGTTGGTGATGTCTTCATTATTTAATATATGTTTGCACGAGTCTGTAATGAAAGCAGGTTTTTAATTACAGCCACAGCCAGCATGGAACATGATCTTTACTTAATATCCTAATGATTTTTGTCATATAAAAAAATCTATAATTTTGACCTGTGCAATGTATTGTTGGCTATTGCTACAAATATACCCCAGCGACTTAACACTGCTTTTGTGCTCCAGGGTCACTTATAGGATTATAGCGCAGAAATGCTTGATGGTATAAATCGTTGTTCATACATTCTTTAAAACGACTCGGTGTCCACAAAGAAGGAAAGTCATGCAGATCTGTTAAGACGTGAGGTTGAGTGAATGGCAGTTTTCATTTGTTAATCGTGTGAATGTCTTGGCTGCGTGTTTCAGGTTTTTGAAGTACGGTAATCGGGAGAAGATGGCTCAGGAGCTGAAGTACGGTGACGTGGTTGAGAGACACATGATCGATGGAGACATCGTTCTCTTCAATCGGCAGCCGTCTCTGCACAAACTCAGCATCATGGCTCATATCGTGAGTTATTTCTCATTTGATCAAAAAAAAAAATGGGGATGAAAATGATATGGAATTACACTAAATTAAATTGTCCAGATGAAATAAAGAAAGTGACTTGCAATATTGATTAATTGATTTTAATCAGTCTTTAATTTGATGAACCGATAATGATTCTTAAATCCTGAAATTGATCTTTGGATGGACTGAAAGTCATTATTTAACAGCTTATAAAAAGTGTGTCACCTCAGGAATGACATTCAAAGTTCATAAACTTGATAGTCAACTACAAAAAAAGCAACTCTAGAGGGGAACAGTTTGATAAATGTATTCACTTTTTTACTTATTCATTATTTTAGCGGTTGGTGATGTCTTCATTATTTAATATATGTTTGCACGAGTCTGTAATGAAAGCAGGTTTTTAATTACAGCCACAGCCAGTGTTTAGATGTTTACATTTCAACAAACTGGAGTAGAAACCAGGGTTATAATAGTATGCAAACTAAAACTGAAACATAAAAAAAAAAACTTTTTTTTTTACTTAAAATTGAATAAATGTTAACTGAAGTAAAATTATATAATATTACAAAAACTTGCATTTATTTGAACATTTATGAGGAAGCATTTAGTTAAACTTGTATTTAAAATGACTAAAAGTAAAACTGAAATAAAAATAATAACTATACAGACTTAGTGAAAAAACTAATAAAAATGACAAAAACAACAAAATTACTAAAACTTTAAATAAAAATGAAAAGGGAAAAAAGATATAAATACATTAAAATACAAATATATTTTTTATAATGAAAACTATAATAGTATCTCAATTCTAAAGTAAACAATTATGTCATTAAAAACCTGATATAACAGCTGCCTTGTGTGCAATTTAAATGTTGGTATAGAATTTAATTTTTTTTATTTTGGTTGATTATATCTAAAATTTTCTCTGTGATTTACAATAGTAGTTGAGAAATAGTTTTCCTTTATAAAATTTGTTGTGTACTGTACCTATATCCAGACAAATTGAAATCGGAATCGAAATGAATCGAGAGCTTGTGAATCAGTCAAATGGATTCATGGAATTGGTGTCAGCCTTTGTGCCTTTATATGAACAGCCCCTTACTTTATAATTCTCCTGTGTTGTGTTCCAGGCGCGTGTGAAGCCTCATCGGACGTTTCGTTTTAACGAATGTGTTTGCACGCCGTACAACGCTGATTTTGACGGAGACGAGATGAACCTTCACCTGCCGCAGACGGAGGAGGCCAAAGCTGAAGCGCTCGTGCTCATGGGGGTGAGAGAGAGAAACCACATCGATCAGAGCGTCTGAACTGCGTCCGATCATGAAATAAACCCCTCTTCATGTGTTCCTCTCATAGACGAAGGCTAATCTGGTCACTCCGAGAAACGGTGAGCCGCTGATCGCAGCCATTCAAGACTTCCTGACAGGTGAGTGCTGCCTGCGTTTTCCTCCCGAGCCAATCAGAATCCAGCATCTGGTGCTCTCCATCTCGCCTGTAGATGGCGCTGTTAGACTGCTGTTATTCAGGTGTGTTTTGTGTAACAGGTGCGTACCTGCTCACGCTCAAAGACACGTTCTTCGACCGAACCAAAACCTGTCAGATCGTCGCCTCCATCCTGGTGGGAAAAGATGAGAAAATCAAGATCTCCCTCCCGCCTCCTGCTATTCAGAAGGTGATGAACCTCTCTTTCGCTCGTTCTGTCCGTCACAATTGATGCCCTATGGGTAGAAATGACAGATTTGCACCTGTAGGTTTTCCGGTGCTGATTCTCTCCTCATAAAGGCTGTCCGGAGTTGTTTTAGACAAAAGAAAAGTTCTTTATTGGAGAGAAAATTTCTGTCTTTGGAGGCTATTTGACGGCTTTCTCTCAAGAGTTTTTGGTTTGCTCCGAGTAATAACTGCACTAACAGTCTAACTTTAGTTATTAGATTTTTTTCTTACTGTTGGATTAGATTTTTGGATATGCACGTTAGAAAACAGGAAGTGACATAATTTGGAGCTTTTCTACAGTATGATGGAAAGACAAGCAATCGAAGTCATTCTTTTTCCAACCTTCTCTAACCTGAATCAAACACATTTTAGTGCCTGCATCAACCTCAACTGTTCAAACTTGTTACAATTTTTATTTGTATATTTATTTATTGTGCTTTTGGGCACTATAAGGTTATCAATAACTGCAAACCAGCATTAAACATTTCTGTTACTTGCAACTAATAAAATATTAAATTTTTATTAGTAGTAATTATTGTTTTTATTATTATTAGAAAGAATAATGAAGCATTTTTAAATTGTTTCTGCATTTTTAATTTTTATGTAATATAATGTTTATTACAAGAAAATAACCTTTTAATCTGTATTCAGACATCCAAATTAGTGCTGGGCGGTATGACCAAAAATTTATATCACGATATTTTTCAAAATTATACCGGTTTCACGGTACATGACGGTATTTTTTTTTCATGCATGACTGGGTGTTAACCATATTTTCTACTGATTGAGAGGAAATACTGCAGTATATTGACTTAGAATGCCCTATTTTACTGTCATGATGAGTGAATATTGTCAAAAAATACCACACTAAATAGTGACTAAACACGACCCCTTTTAATACATGTTAACCAGGAGTCACTCTCATTTATAATCGCCGCATCGTCTGATAAAATCAACACCGGTATTCGGCATGAACCGGTATACCGCCCAGCACTAATCCAAATGTTTCTCAGCAGGGTTGCAAAAATGTATTCAATTAAAATATTTGATTATTAAAATATCAATTATTATTAAATTACTTAAATGTTTATAGTTAGAAAATAACATTTTAATCTTTAATCAACAGGGTTGCAAAAATGTAAAATCATATATAACATAATTCGACAATAAAAAGCTCTTGCATTATTTATTTTGACCTTTTAAGGTGGATGAGTACCATTTTCTGAAGATGATGCACATTATTTTTTATACATTTGTGCACAAGTATTTGAAGGTGTAATGCAGTTGAGCTGTGAGTGTGACGGTGAGTTTTGTTGTTTTGTTGTAGCCGATCCGGCTGTGGACGGGGAAGCAGATCTTCAGTCTGATACTCAAACCCAGTAAAAGCTGTCCGGTGAAGGCCAACCTGCGCACCAAAGGCAAACAGTACTGCGGGAAAGGGGAGGATCTGTGTCACAATGATTCCTGTGAGTGAGCCGACAGCTCTGAGCGCTAGATACATCACATATGCTTGCACTTGTAGGTCCCTGTGATTGCTGCAGTGTGGAAAACCTGCACAGGATCATGGAATCCAGTCATGAAAACGGAATTTCCTGAATAACACGGAATGTTATGGAATTTAGCCATTTTGGCAAAAGCCAAAATAAACGTTTGGTTTAACTTGAAGTATTTGTGATGGAAATATATTAAAGTAGTAGTAGTAATAATAAATATTAAAGGGGTCATATGATGTTGCTAAAAAGAACATTATGTTGTGTATTTGGTGTAATGCAATGTGTTGATGCGGTTTAAGGTTCAAAAAACACATTATTTTCCACATACTGTACATTATTGTTTCTCCTCTATGCCCCGCCTTTCTGAAACGCGTCAATTTTTACAAAGCTCATCGTTCTGAAAAGCGAGGTGTGCTGTGATTGGCCAGCTATCCAGTGCGTTGTGATTGGCCGAATACCTCAAGCGTGTGACGGAAATGTTACGCCCCTCACATACTGTGATGCCGTCTCGCAGCAGGGCGAGACTCAGTCCAGCTGCTCTGCTCGTGCACATCCCATCATCGGTTCTCTTTTAGCAGTTCAGTCAATGTACTGTTAGGAGTAACTGAATAACTCGGGATATTGGTTTATTTCGCGTCAGAGGGAGTGTCAGGCACGTTTATAAACCAAATAACTTAAGTAATTTGTGGATTAGTGTGTACTGGAGACATGAACCGTTTCAAACGATTCAGTTCGATTTGGCAGTGGGGACATAATCACTGATTATAATGACTTATACTGTGTTTTAACGCATTGCGTTGCGTATCGTGCTGCGTAAGCCGTAAACATAAAACCATGTCTGCATTTGTAATCAGAGAAACAACAAACAACAAGCCTACTCTACACTGCTCAAAACTCGTGTTTGAATCATCATTGGCAAATTATTTAAATATAAAAAAAAACTTACTTACAGGCTGTGCGTCAGCAGCGCCAGACGAATATCTCTTTGGATTTGAGACTTTAGTCTTTGCAACTTTACAGATCTTCTTTATGCACCAAGAGCTTGTAACACTCTAAAGAGAAAGGAAAAATTACAATCGCATCATATGACCCCTTTAAAAAACTTTGTGAATATCACACAATTTATTTTCCATGTTTTAATTTTAACAGTCTGTTGTTCAATACTTTTTGTGTGCACAAAAAGAAAAAATTATTTTATTTTAATAAATATATTTTAAGAGATTCATAAAAATTTTAATGATTTATGCCTTCGTTTGATTACCACTGTTTTTTATAATAAATTTGTGTTAAACCATTAATCCAGAAAAATGAAAACGGGCATCACAGAATAAATAAATAAAGATAAATTAAACGGAATTTGAAAAAAAAAATAAACCTCATTTTGTGCCCTAAAAATGTAGTTTTTGTTAAACTTTTAATAAATTCTTGTAAAATTGTATATGTGATTTAAACTAATTAGACTTGCTTTTTGATCACAAAATATTAATTTACCATTAAAGCGGAATGCTAAAAAACTAAAAAAAACAACGCAGAAAGATTAATCAGAAAAAAAACTAAGTGCAGAAAAATTTAACGGAAAAAAACAGAATGCAGAAAAATTAAACAGGAAAAAAAACAATACAGAAAAATTGAATGGAAAAAAAAAAATGCAGAAAAATTAAAAAGGAAAAAAAATTAATCCTGAAAAATGTAAATGGAAAAAAAAAAACATTTAAAGGGAACTTTAATTAAAACGTGTAGATTTCATAAAAATGTGAAGTTCATGTGTAACCCGTGTGTGTTTCCGTGCAGTTGTGGTGATCCAGAACAGTGAGCTGATGTGTGGCAGTCTGGATAAAGGAACTCTGGGATCCGGATCCAAGAATAACATCTTCTACAGGTGTCGGTAGGGCTGGGCGATATAGCTAAAAAATGTATCGATGATATAATGTTTCATATCGTTCGGTATCGGTAATTATTGACATTTTTATAACCTTTTTTCAAACAAAAAGCAATAGAAAAAAAACGT